TTAGAGTTTACAACTATACAGACAAATCTATACAGTAGCATTTTAATTGTTATAAAAAGCTTCTTTTTCGTTCTCACTTTAGTTGATCGCTGCGCTTCAATGAAATGTGACGAGAACATGAAAATAAACAGTCATGGAGTTGCTTTACTTCTATAGATCTCTTCTTCTTGTCTTCTATTCTTTGTCGGGAATAAACATGTAGGTTTATATATTTTCATCCGCAGCGGCTCATGAGAATAACTACTGGTATTAGTGGGTCGGACCTTAATTTGTTGAACTGCTAACAACACAAATTGTATGATTTCTGTGTAGAAAGAACTATATCTGTTACTTTAAATTGATTTAAGCTGTTTGTATGTGCACAAAGTCTGTATTTATTCCCCTGCTGCAGGTCGAGGTTGTTTCCTGAAAACATTTTCATCTAAAACATAAATCAGAGACGAACGCCTCCTGGATTAGTCATTTGATTATCCGTAATGATTCGAACAGGGGTTGCCACAGCGAGTGATTTGATTTGTTTCAGCCGGATGCTCTCCCCGACACAACTTGGGCTCGAACCAGCAGCCCCGGGACCACAATGCTGCGACACTGAACCACTGAGCTACCGTAGCCGACACACAATAAAACTCCAAAATTAACAAAGATAAAAGGGGGAAAAACTGTGAAATAATTTGGAAAGATATAAAACCGAAGACGTAGTGCGTGCATATATATTCAGCCATTCTGAAGCCACACAGTTAGTTGAATAGGATCCACCTGTGGGCGATCTAAGAGGAGAGGCAGGAAATATCTTGTAGTTCATGTCTGCTCCAAGCTGCTGACAGATCATTTAACTTCCTCATTTAGTCCTACAAATGGATTTTGAAACAAAACCATCTTCGTTGTTGGACACGGCAGGTTGGATGATTTCATGTGAGGCCTAGTGCTGGTAGTGATGGTTTCCAGGAGCTCAAACCAGCAGAATGCACCCATGGAGATGAATTATTACCGCTCCGATTGACTGTATTGGAGCTGCCTGCAGTTCTGATCATAGCCAACAGCGTGACATGATAAATCTACCCATGTGTCCTGCAACGTAGTTAAAATAAATCCGATTAAAAAACATTTTAGATTCCATTTAAAAGAAGTGAAAAACAGAACGGAACATAAACAACGAGCCAAGTAATAAGGTAACATTATTCAGAAGAAGGAACTACTTTCTGGGGCGGATGATTTGTTTTAGGTGGGGCTGCGCCCCCACCTGTAGTACTTGCTGCAATCATCAGATTTTTGGTTTCCTTTGGAGGATGAAACAGAAAGTGCTGACTTCCAGTGAGATTTGATCTTTGGACTCTGCCCGTTGATTTCTGACACCAGTTTTCCAAAATACCTCGTCTGTGTGAGATGATCAGAGACGACCCGTTCCACAGTCGTGTGCCAAACCACAAAACGCTTGTCTTTGATTCAGGCTCTGAGCTGGAAACATGATGATCCAGGGTGGAGGAGTTTGGACACTGTTGGACAGCAGCACAGCTGAAGACACAAGCTTCTCTCATCTGTTTTTGTTTTCTTCGGCTCCTCCGGTGTTCGGCACGCTCAGAATCCCGGGCTGCCGTAGCTGCTGCGGCTGGAGTAGCTGTGGTGGCTGCGGGAGCGGCTCTTGCTGCGGCTCCAGCTCCGGCTCTGACTGCGGCTTCGGCTCCAGTTCCTGCTTCGGCTCCGGCTCTTGCTTCTGCTGCGGCTGTAGCTGCTGCAGCTGCTGTAGCTGCGGCTGTGGCCGGACCGTGACGGGCTGCTGTCGTAGCTCGAGGACGAAAGGCTGGGGCGGTAGTATGGGATCGGCCGCTTCCGTGCGCTGTGGGAAGAGACGGGGAAGGGAACATCAGACGACAGCGAGCTGTTAGAATGAAGGAGTGATGGTGACACTTTTACATCTGATGAGACTTTAGGCACTTTGTTGATCAGTGTTAGGCTACAGAGCAGCACACTTTCAATCAGTTCAGTATCTGAAAGAGAGCAGCTATGCAGGTTAATACCCCCCCCCCCCCCCCCACACACACACACACTATAGGAAAATGCATGTTAGTTGAAGCTTGAGCTTAGTTTGCTTTGTTAATAGCCACCGTGAAATTGCTTCCTGTAAGACAATTAGCAGTTAGCTCCCAAATGAACCCCTTCCTGTCAGTCGAGGCCAGCATCCATTAAAAACCAACTGTGGTGCAGATAAATGCTATCAAGGTGTTCTGCAATCACAACCACCTTGAGCGAGGTCTTCTCAGAGTTAGCCTTGCCCCAACAGGTAGTCCAGCCCACTGGGCTTTACTTTTTGAAGTCATGGAGGGTGATGATGAAAAGGCTTCAGCTTGAAGTGGGTCAGATCATCTACAGAAGCTGATGCAACACCAGTGGTCACCGTTCCATTTGTCTAAACAAGTTCAGCAGCTAAATCCAGATGTTGTTTCAGTCGAGACGGAGCTACGATCCATATCACCCATTTAATAAAACTTTTCAAAACTAAACACTCAAAAGAACATGACATTACTCGTTTTAGACTTTAAAGAGAGGAGAGATGTTTCTATGGGCCAGCAACAGGACAAAAATGATCCCAGATCTGTGACTGGTGATGACTCTGGTTGAGTGGGCAGATTTAGAGTTCAAGGTTTTACATTAATTTTTCTTTACATAAAACCTGGGACACCCCCAACAACCACCACAAAGTACAAGTTAGGTGAATAATTGGGTGAAGTTGTCTCCAGCCTTTCCTGCATTGTTGGGTGGGGGCAGTTCAAGTCATCCTTGATAGCATTTGAACCTCTGCATTCCCGTGTTTCAACATTAGTGTGTAACCTCGGCAGGGTGAAGCTTCAGAGTTACTGTGAGTTTCAGAGATGACAAACAGAAGCAGAGGGAGGACAGAGGACAAAGAAACAGGAGGAGGTCAGCTTTACTCAGGGAAACTGATGCTGTGCAGTTCAGACGGGCTTCAGGAGTCAGACTAGTGGAGTCCTGCTGCACGGCAACTGTTACCGTGGTAACAAGCCTGCAGCAGATGAGTCCAGCAGCATCCCGAAGTCTCGGCACGAGGACCTTTAGGACCGGAGCAAAAGATAACAACACACTCATTTCTTTCTTGTTTAACACTCGTGAGAGGGAAAAGAGGCGATACAGAGACACTTTTCACAGAGCGGACTCTCTTCCTCCATACCTGCTGAACACTGGTTCATAACAAAGAAGCCTAAACCATGCTGCTGTGATGGAAGACACAGTTATTAAATTAAAAGATATGAGTGTCCTCTTAGAGGGGACTAGGAACAAATATGAGGTTTAAAAATATCCTTTGTTTGAATAAATAATAAATCATCTCTCAAACAGCAAACCAGCACATAAAGACATCAACAGAACAAGTACATCAATGTTGTGTTGTGGGTTTTGGACCTGAGCATCTCAGGAATTGATGTTTCAGTCTTTCTCCCTCCTTAGATGACATTAATCTGGTCTCCAGTTCTAATGTTAAAAATCTTGGTGTTATTTTTGATCAGGACGTGTCTTTTATCCCCACATTAAAAACGTTACTAGAACCTCCTTCTTCCACCTGCGTAATATCACTAACATTAGAAACATCTTATCATAGGTGGCGTGCCGGGGCCTCTCCGGGCCTGTGGTGTGGGGCTGGTGGAGTGCCCGATCCTTGGTGCACTGGGCCGGCCTTCCTCAGCTGCTGCTCCCTGCTGCTCTGGCCCCCGGCCTGGGACCGGCTTGCGGTTGCTGTCGGGTGGGTGGGGCGCATGGACGACCCAACAGAGACTCTGTCGGGCTGTCTCCGTGTGCCTGTTTATGTCTCGGGTTGGGTTTTAGGTGGTCCCCTCTCTTGGATCAATCTGGGCCCCCCATTTAATGTGGGGTCTACTTTCCCCTGTCGTGCTCTCCTCCGGTGGTGGGCCCCCCTGCCGCTGGTGCATTGGCGGCTCTCAGCAGCTGGGGCTGGGTGGTGGGGTGTGTGCGGGCACACCCTGGTGGCTGCCTGCCGGGACCTGGGTGCCCTGGCTTTGTTGGGCCTCTGTTAGGGGGGTGGTATGACCTCGGGACTCGGGGCTCGGTGTCCATGGCCGGATCTACTCTGGAGGGGCGGGTTGCCGGCGGGGCCTGTGGACTCGTCTCTGCAGCCTCTGGGGTTTCTGCATTGTGGTTGCTGGGGATCGCCCGGGGCTTCCCTTTGCTTCTCTCTCTGGGGGGTGCTGGTGTCCCAGCTGGGCTTGGGGGCCGCTTTGTGTCTGTGGCTCCGATCTTCCCTGTGTTACCATCGTGTCCTGTGGGGATGGGTCTGTGTGTCCCCACATCCACTATTGAACATTTTTATGGAGAAACCTTATAGTGACATCATGCTCACACAGGTGTTTAGATCCAGGTGTTTATCAGATACACACTCAGTTGGGTTGTGGTGGCCATCAAATATATCTAGTATTACCATGTACTGTATAAAATACTTTCTAATGATGGTATAAGTAACATTATATATGTTGTTTGTTGTTGTGGTTTCTCAGTTTTGTCTTGGTTTTGTTTTCTTTCTTCTTCTTTCAATGATGTTGATGTGTGTTCTCTTTATCCCTCTCTCTCTCCTCTATTCCCATCTCCTTTACATTATTATTATTTTAACCCTTCTCTCACTTTTCTGCTTTGTTTTCTTCTTTGTTTTTCATCCCCATGTCCATTACATCTGAAACAAACCTAAAGCAAATTCTAATAAAATTTTAAATCAAGTGGAGCATTAAGACCAGCCATAATGCTCTGCTGGTGAAAATAAATCTGTTGGGCATCACTTTGACACTCAGACAATAATCCTAAGTGTCACAATGCCGGACAGGACAAGGGGAAAAAAAGAAAAAGAAACATCTGATCTAAAAATGATGCAGAAAAACTGGTTCATGCATTTTTCTTGTCTAGACTGGACTTTTGCAATGGTTTACTATCTGGGTGTCCAAATAATTATTTAAAACATCTTCAGTTGATCCAAATGCTGCTGCCAGAGTCTTAACTGGAGTTAGTGGGAGGGATCATGTCTCTCCAGTTTTAGTTTCTCTCCATTGGCTCCCTGTCAAATCCAGAATAGAATTAATTTCCTTTTTTCTCCATTGACCCTTTATTTATACAGGTAGTCTCACTGAGTCACGAGAATTCATTTTCGAGAGAGACCTGTTAGGGAGCAGACGATGGGGGTTAAGGGCCTTGCTCAAGGGCCCAGAGTGGGGCAAATGAGAATGGAGGCAGGTGTGGGTGTTTCACCTTTTCTTGCCCACATTTTGTTGTTGACAGTACCGGGAGTTGAACCCGCGACTTTCTGATCACAGGCCTGTCTTCTAACCTCTGCGCCACCACTCCCTCAAAATTCAAAATCTTACTTCTAACCTACAAAGCTCTCAACAACCTAGCTCCAGCTTATATTACAGATTGTTCCAGATGTTTCTAACAGAGCACTTCACTCTCAGACTGCAGGTTTACTTGTGGTCCCTAGAGTTTTCAAAAGCAGAATGAGAGGAAGATCTTTCAGTTACCAGGCTCCTCTCTTGTGGAACCTGTTCATACGTCTGACACATTGTCCAGTTTCAAGACTTTCCGTTTTGATAAATCCTAGTTAGGGTCGGCTTGGGTTTCCTGAACTATCCCTTAGTTATGCTGCTATAGGCTTAGAATGATGGATGACAAACTGACCACATGTCCTCACTCTGCTACTGTCTTTTTATGCAATATAATAGCACTTTACTTACTTTGTTCTTTAAACTCATAATTTTGTTGACATTTGATAATAAAAATTTAAAAAACAAACAAAAAAAAAAGCACAATTTCAAAGTTTATAGTTACGTATATTAAAAAAAATCCAAAAAACTTGATGAAGCTTGAGTCAGGAGAAAGCCTCATGTGTACTCGTAACACAGGATAAAATCATTACTTATTATTTTACTGATAATTAGAAATAAAGATCTTCAAGAAAAGTAGTTGATGGTTCCAAAGAGTAAAAACCTCGGGTCTCTTGTTCTTCAAAATTTGTGTTGTGGAATTTTATCGGTAGATAAAAAGGACATCAAAACCAACACACAGCTGGATACAGCGGTGGTGGGATGCATCACAAACACACCATGAGTCCAGCTACAGGCAGGAGGTGGAACATCTGGAGAGCTGGTGCAAGAAGAACAATCTTCACATCAATGTGAAGAAGACGAAGGAGATGATCATGGATTTCAGATGGAACAAATACTCCCACCACGTCCCCCACAAAAAGGGGAGGATCTGTGGTGGAAGTGGTCTCCAGCTACAAGTACTTGGGTGTGCACCTGAATGACAACCTCAGCTGGAGCAACAACACCACCAGTCTGATGAAGAAAGCTCATCAGAGACTCTACTTCCTCAGACGGCTGAGGCGAGCTGGTCTGGGAAGCTCAGTCCTCACCTCCTTCTACAGGTGTGCAGTGGAGAGCATCCTGTGCTCCAGCATCAACATGTGGCATGGAGGCTGCACAGCTGCAGAAAGAAAAGCTCTGCAGAGAGTGGTGAAGGCTGCACAGAAGACTGTTGGAGTCAGTCTCCCCACATCACAGACATTTATACCTCCTAATGCAGGAAGAGGGCCACCTGCATCATGAAGGACCCCACTCACCCAGCAAACACACTTTTTGCCCCGCTCCTCTTAGGAAGGAGGTTGAGGAGCATTAAGTGTAGAACCACTAGACTGAGGAACAACTTCTACCCTGAGGCTGTTAGACTCATGAATCTCTAACCAGAATAATCACTGTAAGGAACTTTAATTGATGATATGTGACTTATTTATACTGCTGATTATCCTTGCTGCTGATCTCATGCTGCTGATTATCTCATGCTGCTGCATTCATTCATACCTATCTGCGCTCACCTTGGGCTGCTGTTGTTATGCCGTATTGTTTTACATTATTAGTGTTTAATGTA